ACCACGTTTCTAGCTCTTCGGGAAGAGCGCGGCTCCGGATCGCCGGTAGGTTGTGCGTGTACGCAATAAAGTACTAGGTGTAAATGTCTGCGTTATAGTTACATCACTGAAAACTGTTTTTTACTTGCAATATTGCAAAGTGAATGCTCACAACAACCAAAAAGCTTCGCCTGCACGCGGCGAGCACTTCCGGATTTCATTCACGCACAGGCTATATACTGCTAATAGATCTTAGAGGGATGCATTGGCTTCGTCTTTTTCCTCACGGTAGAAGACAAGAGACACAAATCCCAGTTTCTCCCCATTTTTCCACAAGAAATAAGAGCCGTCCGATGCCCAGTTTTGGTTGCGCCGAAGAAGTCAATTTGTCGCAACTCGTGTATTGAGTATCATAGAAGTTGCGGATCTCCCATTCCTAAGCTCCTCCTGCAGCGTCATGCTTAAATCATACAAAAAACAACAACCACTCGTACGCCTTTCAGAGCTTGTACGCCTTCGTTTCCCCATCATGCCACAATGCTCTTAGAGTTGCTCACCTCTCCATGAATTGCACACTCATGATATCACCTGCATTTATTTTTCCCCAGTAAGTAGCTTTAGACTCTCCATTTCTGACGTTTCAAGTTAACGAAGCGAGTCCGCATAGATCTGATCCAGACGCCAAACGAGATACGCAAATTTGGGGAGCTCACCATAGCGGCGCGCAGTCGATGTACTGACCTACATTATTTGCTTGTTAAGGACCACAAGCCCTTCCACATTTAGTCTACATATGCCTGTCTTTGTTTGTGCTAGCAGATGCCTCGTTCTGTATAATTTGACCAGGTGGCTGCAGTGAGAAGTTAGCCGGTTATATCTAGTTACTGTTGTGTAGTTTCGGGTACGAGGAGGACAAAAGGCAAGTTCTGAAGATTGGCCGTAAGCATGAGCAATATACTTCCTCTAATCAAGACCTTGAGATGTCGATTGACAGGTGGTGGAGCGGTATTTGCCGCAACGAAGCTTAGTCAAACTGCGCGGGGATCGCGGAACCTAGAGAACAGCGATTGAGTAGAAGCAGTTTGGGTAGGGAAATCTTGATATAAAGAACAAATATCTAATTCTGCGTAGGTGAGAGATATTGAGCTTTCGCTCGACCGAAAATGAGGATCAGCCAATCAAGAACACGAAACGCTTTTTACTTCAGACCGGCTCGCTAGGTTGTGGTTCGCGGGCAGTGAGTGAACTGCACCCGAAAACCTGCACCAAAGAAAATGAAAATCGTGAACAGTTGACTGGGACAACATACTTCTAGGGAACATCCATATGAGACAGAAAGCTCACACAGAACATTCAACAGGCAAAATGCAGATACAAAATATTCAACTGCCGAAATTCTGTTCTTGAAAATGCAACGGAGGCAAATTGCTGAAGCGGAACATTCACCTGAAACCAAATGCTGGTTAACAATCTTTAACAGAGACGACATGTTGATACAGAATATTCGACTGAGACAAGATGCGGATACAAGAGTGATGCAATTCCAATTTATGGGTGTGCAGTAAGCTTGAACACCATGGGTGCCATGCGCGAGAATCCAAGTCCCACAGATGAAAGAATGTTAGAGAGCAACCTCACTACTACTCGCTGTTCAAAAAGGCATGACAAGTACTATTGCAGCCGAAACGATGCTACAACCTGAGGCTTAGCTTTACACAACGCATGACGACGTTTAAAAGAACTGCCCTCACGAAGATGCAGGACGGAGTATGAATCCAGCACTGCTGGAGATCGCGGGCATCCCTGGTGGCGCTTTACCTCTTGCTTTCTGCTCTCATAGCTGCATGAGGAAATGGACATCTGAGGCACACCAGGGGTTGTATCTGGAAGAAAGCAAACAGCCATTTGCCAAGTATGTTTCTAGCAATGAGAGTACAGGATGATTCCTAAACAGAGCCCGTCCAGGGGGCAGAACGAGCAGCTCAGATTATCGTATGAGTTTATATTAATTTTGCGGTTTTGATTTGCAACATAAATCCACTACGGAGATATTCGGGGATGACGAAGTGGTTTGCTTTCTCCTTGATCGCAAGGAAATGCCTGGGTCTCTCAAGTTCTAAGCGGGTGCTCTCTGTTCAGTTGTTTGTTCTCTGCTTCCAACTGTACCAAGCAAAGCAACACAATCTTTTGGGGCAGCATGGGGCAAAGCTTAGTCTGGTGAAAGTCTGAGTAGCTTCAACTGGAAAAGAAGCGGCCTCCTGCACCCAGCAGTGTACATGTAAATGAACGGTAAGCGTGGGCTACCGCTTCTGCAACGGGCATACTACGCCGTCTATTACAAACAATTATAACTTGTGCTGAGGCGCTAGTGTCCGCTTGCTTTACCTTGTTATTAATGTCACACTATTTGGAGTTGAGGCTGAAGTTTCTATGTTATTAGACAGCGAAGCCAGCAGCTGTTACAGATTAAACACTTATGCCTTGCAGCCTTTTACATCTTCTAGTTGGTCATGGCTTGACCGTTTGCGTTCACCTTCTACAGATCCTGCGTAGAAGAATATACAGCAATCCTGTGCATACTTGCACGCCCTTACTCCCCTCTCTGCTACACCACAGATGTGACGAAGGTCCTCTATCTTGGCAGAGTACCGTCGTAAGCCGCAGTAGATACAAGGGCTTGAAATAAGAATTATACAAAGCAGCTCATGAGATCCCATCCAGTGTCCAAGTACCCCGGGAACCGTGGCACAGAGGCCTGCGGCTGATGCGGAGAGGAGGCGGCCTGTCGTGACTTGCAGCACGCGTTGCTGGATGCAGGCAGGAGCAAGCGTGCTCTCGTGCACAGCTAAACACTGTAATCAATTGTGAAACACTTAGCTGGCAACTAGTAGCCAGCCTACAGGCACTAGAACTACACATATTGCCAACTTCAGAGCAAGGTCTAGAACGGATGCTCCTACAATAACTCGAACCCAGGGGAACGGGTCTAGGGAAACAAGCCACCCACGAAAGCTGAAACTCATACGCATTTAATTCAAATAACTAACACAAACCTACACCGAAGAAGTGCCCGTCAACTCAAGGATGCCACAAGGAACCACAGCGGCGCTCGTTACTGCTGGCTCTGTTGTGTTGCGCCGGGGTATCACACTCTGTCTTCGATTGTAGCAGAGTAACAAAATACATAAACTGAGTATTTAGAAAGCTCCTTGCATGCGGTGGAGGTGTCGTTCAAAAGCATTATTTGTTTCTCGCTCAAGCCTATTCGTACATGCATGCATGCAGTCAGCCCCTGAGCAGCGGTGGGTGC